TGGTGTGTCCATATGGAGTCTAGGCCGACTGCCCCTTTCTCTTTTTCCTTCTTGATTTGTTTCTGTCTGCGTATGGTAGGCTGGATCCTTTCCCCCACCAGGAGGTCTAGTGCTGTTCTCTGTGGCACTCACTTCCAATTTTGAGGTTTGTTCCACATTTTTCTCCTACTTTCTTCAGCACCTTCTAATATGACCCTTTTCAGAACAGCGGTAGTGGTAGTGGTAGCCAAGCACCATCTAATTCTTCTTGTCTCAGTGTTGTGGAGACTGGTGTTTCTGTGACTCACGAGCCACACTTAGTCTGCATGTGACTTGGGATTCGAATCGCTCCTTTCCTTTGGATCAGTATAGAGACCAAGAGTTGCACTTTAGCTGACTGCACATGAGCTCTGAAGGTCCCAGTTGCTACACACCAAGTTAGGATGTACAACAGTGTCTTTGTGAACTTTGATTTTCACATTAACCTTGGTGGCCCTTGACAATAAGGTCCTGAGCCCCTAGTCGCAGTGACTCCTTTCTTTAAGATGTTCCATTATGTCTAAGAAGTTCTCATAACTTTGCTCCCAATATTGTCCACCATATTTATGGGTATATTTGCAGCGAAAGCAAATACACATATACTGATATCTTCTGTCAAACTTATATGTGTGTGGATAGACTCTCATTATTCCTTTCTCACCTAGTCAGCCTACAGATTTATCTAAGTATCAGCTTGTAGATAACAGATCTTACAGGATTGTGTCTATAACTGTATGTGCTCCTGTTGACTTTACCTCTTGCCTACATCCCACGTCTTCCTCTGCCCTCACCAACACTTGTCTTCTGCCCTCACCAACACTTGTCTTCTGCCCTCACCAACACTTGTCTTCTGCCCTCACCAACACTTGTCTTCTGCCCTCACCAACACTTGTCTTCCTCCTAGCCAGTGACTTCCCCATTCCATCCCCTTGCCACTCTTAGTAACCATCAATGGATGTTTCTTTTAATGTGAAAACATTTTCTTGATTTTTAAAATAGTAGACTTATACAATATTTGTCCTTTTGTGATTGAATAATGTCACACACATACTGTCCTCCGGGTACATCCATGTTATGAGCTACTTCTCAGATCCATCATCATTCCTTAATGTTGTATAGTAGTCCATTGAGTATGCTCCAACATTTATTTATCCATACGGGGAAGAATCTTCCTGCTGTGGGAATCAGTAGGCAATGAAGATGGGTGTGCATATATCAACGGGCTGTCATTTCTCTAGGATAGATACCAAGTAGAGGGTTGGTTGGGTGGTGTGATCTTTCTAGCCTCAACATTTTGAGGAAGCACCATGCCACTTTCTACCATGGTCCCTCATTGTGCCTTCCAACCAGCCAAAGCGGGGTCCCATGCCCACCGCAACATTGCCGGCAGATGCTGCTTTCTCTGGTTTGAACCTTGCTCTGAATGCTGCAGTAGGGAAACTGGAGAGAACGCATCTTAAAGAAGACGATATTCAGAGTCTTACTTAAAATGTATATATTTTGACCCAGTAACTACACTTCTAGTAATCTGTCCTGAACTAATCATCAAAAATGTAGACAAAACCATATACAATGTTTCACAAAGTGCTATTTATTGTAGTGATAGATAATGTACTACCATAAAAATTAGTTAAATAAATAGTTGGATAACTCTCCCAGGAAATATGATAAGCACTTGAAATGGTCTATGTCAAACAGTGCTAATAACATGAGGAAAATGTCATGGTATGTGGTCAAGTTTAAAAGTAGGCTAAAAGTATATATACAATATGATCATATTACATTAAAAATATATTTTAAATAACTGGGAAGAGAAGCACCTGGAATGTTGGTATTATGAGAGCTTTTTATTCATTTTATGGCTTATTTCAGTATGCTTTTAAGAAGACTATAGAAAATGCAGTGCAAATTCAAAGGGCTTTATATCTAACAACAAAGGGAGTTGATACAATAAGAGGATTTTTAGTTAACCTTAATATTTTTATTTTATTTTACTTCACTTCTTCTGAACCTAAGAAATGAGAGAGGCATGTGTAGAGAATAGAGTAGGTTCCCAGCAGAAAGAAAAGGGTTATCTGAGAATGGAGGATATAGGGTGTGAAGAAAAAAACCTTTGGAGGCATCGTCATTATCAAATATAGGAAGTTATTGTATGACTTGGAAGGTAGACTTAATTTTTTTCAGATAGTTTATATCTACTAGTTTAATTATACATTAGTTCAACAAACATCTGTTGGGTATTTGCTCTGTACAAAATTGAGGGTTCTAGAGATACGA